CCTTCACAATGCCAGGCAAACATTGGCAGACCCTTCTTTGTGTTCTTTTCGTTTCAAGCTGGTGGCCTGTATGCAGCTAACTCTTAATAGCTAAAACCTGGCATGTTGTTACTAATGGCAATAGCATAATCGTTATTGAGGACTTGCTCTGCATTGATTCCTGCACTGACATAGTGGTATATGTGCTCATCGATTCCAAACTTTAGAGGGAGGCACTTTCCTTTTTACAGATCAGGAAAAGCTAAAGTCCACAGAAGTTAAGTAACTTGACCAAACTTCAGAGCTAGTTGGCGGCAGAGTCCGAATTTGAATCAAAGTCTGATTATAGAGCCTGAGCTTAACACAAAATGTGGCCTGTTTTACCAATTAAGTCCTGAGAATATGATCTGGTCTTGAGAAACACGCTTTCAGTCAACAAGCCTACACCTCTTAGCTTACTGTGCAAAATATCTGAGACCATGATTATGCATCTCTATATTTTTTGCCATTTAATTTCCAGTGTGGGAAACCTTCTAAATTCTTCAGGCAGCTCTATGGCTTATGTGTGGGAACCATATGGTACTTTCTCTCCCACTGATCATTTCTATCATAGAGTCTAAGTTTTTGGAAGGAAGCATCAGAAACACACCAAGTTAGAGTAGGTGTGGCAAACTCTGGCCTAAGGGTCAAATCCAGCTGACCACTTGTTTTATAAGACCAATAAGCTAAGAATGGTTTTTATCCTTAAATGGTTAAAAGCAGAAATCAAAAGAATGTTTTGTATTATGTGACAATTATATAAAACTCAAATTTCAGTGTCCATAAAATATTACTTGAACACAGCTATGCTCAGTTTACGTATTGCCTGTGGCTGCTTTGTACCATAGAGAGAGAGACCATATGATCTGGAAAGCCTCAGACAGCTGATCTTTTGTAGAAAGATTGCTGACTTGAGTTAGAGAAGAGAATCTCAAACTATATAAGGGCATGAGATAAGATGCCCCATGGGCACGGCAGAAAAGCTGAAACTGCTACCAGAGTGGTGGAAGATGCAGAGGTGAGACAGAACCATGAGATCAGGCTGCCAGCCTATCTCCATCATTCCTAACCGGAAGTCAGGGGACCTGGTGAGGCCATATGTGCCTAGAGCCTCTTAGGAACTCCAGTCCAAGTGACTCCTACCACAAGGCTGAGATCTGTGGCAGTACATTACTGCCCCCTTTCTCTTCTCTCATTAAAGGGTTTCTGGTCATTGGAAGATTGGGCTAAAGGCCTAATCGGGGCTCCCACTGTCCCATCCTTCATTTTGCACTTTCATATACACTCACACGTGTCTCTGTCCCCATTTCCAAGTGAGAAGGGCAGGGAGGGATGCATCCAAAGCTTACATAAACTGTTACCTGACTGACATTGAGTTAAGCCGAGGCAGAGTGTTCTTATTGTGCTCACAGCCACCGAGCGAGACACTGTGCAGAGTAAATAAGGAAGTGGTGAAGAGCCTGCGTCTTAACTCAAATAAGAGGATGCCACACATCCTGTGAGCCTCAACTGCAACATGGTTATAATTATGTAGTGTGTGCAATGCCTTTCTGCCTGCTGTATCCTAGGATGCCTGGGGTGCCCTCCTCCACCCTCGTCCCTTCTGTCTGCTGTCTCCCTTTAATGGTCTTACCCAAGGAAAACTCCAGAAGCCAGGATGCTCAGAACAGTAAAGGGCTTCAGAGCTGTACCTTCACCCTACATGCAGATTTATGGATCAAGAAGGTACAGATTGTGATAAAATAGGGCCCAAAAGGTTGCAAAAGAAACAAAACAAAAAGCAAAGACCCTGGGCCACCCCAGCAGGGGATATAGTGCCAACAACTTTGGACAGGTGGCCTTCTCAGCTGTTGGGTGAGCAAAGCAACTAAAAATACCGATTTCAATGACACCATTTCTAGCTACTGCCAGTGGGCTCTCCCTTTGCTTCTTTTCCCTTTTGGAACAAACAATGCAGCCAGATCCTGAAATAATTGTTCTTTTCCTGCCTATTTGTATTTCACTGGCCCCTCCATCCTGTGTAGGGCAGAGGTCAGCCCTTGGCAGTGGAGGAGAATGAGAGAGGAGCTGGCAGTAGAGGCTCGCCTTGGCCAATGAGCTCACCAGGTCACAAGCAGGGGTCATGGGCCTATTTTGGCTGAGGAGGAAACCAAGAAGCAGGGAGAGGAAGTGGCTTCTGTGCTTGCGTCTTTCTATATATAGACACCCACAGGCTGCCACACACCAGTGAGCCTCTGGAACCATGAAACTGCAGGATCAACTGGCTTTGGGCAGGCTGCAGAGCAGAGGGTTGGCGGGGGAGGTGGGGGGAGAGGGGTAAAGGGACAGATTACCGCAGAAGGGACAGGTGGTGCCGAGCAGCCCCGCCGTGGAGAAAGCTTTTGGTATCATGTGGTTCTGCTGCTCTGTTCTTTCAGTCCAGCCAAACAAAAATGAATAACCATTCCCAGATCCCAGACTGTTCTGCAGGACCCTAATCTCTAGCTGTAAGGGGGTGGCCATAGATGCCACAGCTGCCCTCTACCTTCCATTCAGAAAAGGCAAACTTATAGAATCTGAAGATTCTAGTTAATTGTCACTAGACTAGCCCATCTCTATTTATTCCACTGTATATGACCTTGAGAAAATCCTTAACTGCCTGAGCATAAACTTCCTCATTTATAAAGAGGGCTAATAATCCAAACTGGAGGTATGCTCTAAGGACTAAGCCAAATATAAAATGCCAACCACGATGCCTGGCACGCAGGTGGCACTTACTGAAGAATAGCTAAAATTGAAGTCACACTTACTAGTGGCAGAATTAAGAAATGGACCCTGGTCATGCACTTACTGGCCCAGAGTGATTTTCTGGATTTTCTTTGCTTGACCACCTTTACAACTTGTCATGTGTGAGCCTGAGTGAGCCTGCGTGAGCCTGCGTGAGCCTGCGTGAGCCTGTGTGAGCCTGCGTGAGCCTGCGTGTGCGTAGGGACCAAATAAGTTGGTTTTATAGACTCCTCCCAGCATCACACACAAATCTTTGGCATTTGGAACATCTACATCTCAGTCTCTGGGGAATTTCATAAATTGCTTCATGTGGGGAGATGGGGGTAGCTGGTGGTCAGGAAGACATAAGAGTTTGAGCAAGAAAACAAGCTTGGGGAAAGGGGAAGGAGTGGGGAGATACGGGAAATTTACACTCACCCACACTTAATTATATGAGAGAAAATAAGAATTTGCAGAGAAGATAGTGCCTTGAGTGGAAAATTCTAGTCCTAGGTACTTTTTAAAAGTTCTGAGAAGGAAGAGGCTCATAGTAACTGACTTAGAGCACGGGGAACAGGGCCTGAGGGCACTTCCTCTTCTTAGAGGGTGCTCCTCCACCTTAGTAACAGGAACAAGTGTCTAGCTTCTTTCCAGGTGAAACACTGAAACTCACTAGGACATCTCTGTGAGGAGCCACTACTCCATTTTTCCTGTATCTTAATTTAATCTTAAATGATTTGATCAGGCACTAGCCTAGACCTCAGCCAGTCTACTCAGGCATTTGGTAATTATTTCAGTGACTCTAAGGACCACTAGCACGCTCTGCTGGTCAGGGATGCTCTCAACACTCCCCAATGTATAGGACAGTCAGTACGATGCACGCCCTTGTCAGAAACACTACTTTAATTTCCAGTCTAAATACCAGTCATGCCCCAAATTTTTGGTAGAAAACAGCCACCAGTTCCCATGTCTTAGCAACAGGAGGAGAAACCGTTTCTGGAGCTTGGCTAGCCCTGCCAAGCTCCAGTCCTTCCTTGGATCCCTACACAATAAGAGTGACGTTTTTACTTTTTTCACTCTCAAACCTAAGAGCTTACAGGACAGAATAAACAAGCAGCTCTCCAGATATCAGCTTGCTAATATCAGCATTTGGTATATAACAAGACTCCCTAGGTGGGCAGAGGTACATGCCACTGGTGTAACATGCCCACGTATCCCCGACACCCAGAGGGTGTGAGTGGGGGCTAGAGGCAGTTCAGGGACCACCAATGATATTGGTCAAACAGAAATTCTAGGCAACCTTAGAATAACTGGCTAAAAGGCGGGATGCAGCCCAACCCATGGTGACCTTGTATGCTCTGGGACAACTAGTTTGATAGGCTGATGTAAATAGAAACGCCAGGCCTCAGGGGCTCAGTGAAGGGCAGTCTAAGCCCGGTACCCAAAAGCAGGGGCCTCAGCAGGAGGCTAGTGACTCTGTTGCGGAGCCTCACTCGGCTCACCCTGCTCCTGGACACCTCCTCCCTGACTTCCCACCGTAGGTCAGACAGTGAGCCACCCACCTGATGAAATAGCAGCAGAAGATGAGGCTAAGCATGAAGACAAAGATGCCTGTGCCAAAGATGACCATGTAGATGTTGAGGGGAAGGTCTTGGAAACTGATGGGTGGCATTGAGCAGGACTTGTTAGTACTAACCAGTCCCAGGCCGCAGAAACACCCTGCAAAGAAAGGAGAAGGAAAAATATTACAGATGTAAATTTACCAGTGGGGCTGATGGCACTCTGTGTCAGCAAGGACAGAGAGAACTAGCAGGTGTTGGGCTCCTAAACCTCTGATTAAAGGCTTAAGTATATATCGTATCTCTAACACTTACTAGCTATGTGATCATGGTAAATTTAAGCAATCTATGAAATGGACTACTACACATAGTACTTGAAACAGCATTTCCATCTAGGGGATCAAGGAGGCTTCAGGCAATGGGCAGAAAATGGAAATACTTCTATCAGGTAGAGCCCACATGGTACATATGGTACAGAAGCAAACAGAACCTTAGGTGAGAAAACACTGGGGTTCCAACTCCACCTCCCCTAGCTGATACCTTTACAAAGTTACTTCTCTAAGCTTCACTTTGTCATATGAAAACAAGTAAAATACAGAGAGGATCAAGAATGGCATAAGAAATATGTCTGATAAATTGCAAAGGTCATTTGTCATTAAGACACCTGCTCCAAGCGACAAGCTGCACCAGGACCAGAATAGAAATTGTTCACTCCAAGGCTGGAAAGCGGTGGCAGGAGGGGGGCGGGGGCGGGTAGGTCCCAGCTTACTTTTACTGCCACCATGCCTCTTTCTACTCAAAGCCTCATTGTGCAATTGCCTAGCAGCAATGCCTTTCCATGGAAGTTTGTTTTGAAATGCAGAACCTCAGGCCCATCCCAGATGTAGTAGTAAATCAGAATCTACATTTTAACAAAGCCCTCAGCATATTCCAACGCATTCAGCTTGGGAAGCACAGGCTAGCTACTAGATGCATTCCCCTTCTCACATGACTCAGGGGTGAATCCTGATTGGTCTACCAATCATGGTAGTCACCTTCCCCTTGCCAGGGTTTGGTGCTGAGGTAGGTATGTGACAGTTCTGGCAAAAGAAACAAAGAATGTCTGCTGGAAAAGGGAAGATTTTTTTTTTTGGTCACATCTCTTCAAAATACCTGGAATGATGGCAGCCAAGTCATAGCTGGAAAAAGAAC